TCATTGATTCTGAAATAGGGTTACAGTATATATATACATGTATTTGTGTAAAGACTAGACTACCCTCACATACAATATTAATATGTACACTATCATCCCCCCGCAATTTGAGCAGGGTTGCAGACCACACTCAAATTGGATCGTTGAGAGCAAAAAGCTGGTGCAGAGAGAGCCTTGGTAAGTATGTCAGCACGCTGGAAAGAGGAAGAAACATACTGAAGTGTAACAATGCGGGAAGCCACTTTTTCTCGAACAAAATGAATGTCAATCTCAATATGCTTGGTTCGTTGATGTTGAACGGGATTGAGTGTCATATAAATAGCACTAAGATTTTCACAAAAGACAGTAGGTGCAGATGGAAGAAAAAGATGCAAGTCAGCCAATAATTGTTTTACCCAAAGAACTTCAGCAACAGCATTGGCAAGGGCTCTATATTCCGCCTCAGCACTAGAACGAGCAACAGTAGATTGCTTCTTGGAAGACCAGGAAATAAGAGAACGACCATAGAACAAACAAAATCCAGAAGTAGAACGCCGTGTATCCAAACAACCAGCCCAATCAGCATCCGTAAAGGCATTTAGAGAGGGTAAAGAGTCATGATATAATTGTAAGCCATGGTGCATAGTACCTTTCAAATAGCGTAAAATACGCTTGACAGCAAGAAAATGATTCTCAGTAGGTACATGCATATATTGACATACCTGATTTACTGCAAAGGCAATGTCAGGCCGAGTAAAAGTCAAATACTGTAAGGCTCCCACCAAGCTACGATAAAGAGAAGCATTTGAACATAATGGACTGTCATTACCTTGAAGTTTGTGCTTAGGTGTTAAAGGAGTGGAAACTGCTTTGCAATCAACCATACCACTCTTGTCAAGTAAATCACGGACATATTGAGGCTGAGAGAGAAATAAACCATCAGAATTAAACTGAGTTGTAATGCCCAAGAAATAACTAAGGCAGCCCAAATCAGTCATGAGAAACTCAGCCTTCAATAAGGAAATAATGGAACCCAACAGAGATGGTGCAGAGGTAGTAAGAAGAATGTCATCCACATATAGAAGAAGGATAGCCATAGAACCATTTGAATGAAACACAAACATAGAGCAATCAGAAGCAGCCTGTACAAAACCACGAGAGAGTAAAAATGAAGTAAAGCATTGAAACCAAGCATGAGGAGCTTGCTTTAGACCATAAAGAGCTCGCTGTAATAAGCAAACATGATCAGGATGTTGCTTGCTAACAAATCCAGGAGGCTGATGCATATAAACTGGCTCAGATAAATGACCATTCAGAAAAGCATTCTTAACATCCAATTGATGAATTTTCCAAGACCGTGAGATAGCAAGAGCTAAGACAGTTCGGATGGTGACCCGTTTGACTACCGGACTAAATGTCTCATCAAAATCAACCCCAGACTGTTGTGAATAACCTTGAGCAACGAGTCGAGCTTTATACCTTTCAAGGGAACCATCAGCATGCCTTTTAATTTTGTACACCCATTTCGACCCAATAACATTCACATTTGGAGGTCGCGGAATAAGAACCCAAGTTTTATTGTGCAGAAGAGCAGAATACTCATCCTCCATAGCATGCCGCCAATGAGGAGACTGTTGGGCTTGTTTGAAGGTACGAGGTTCTTGAATATCAGATACAGCCGCAAGCATAGATGGGAGAGTGCGAATCTTTCTTGTGCCATCCTGAGACCTGGTCACCATAGAATGAGTTCTGCGAGGATTGTGAGAAGAAACAACATGTGGAACATTTTCCTGCATAATAGAATCAGAAACAGAGACATCAGATGTTGGAGGAGCAGCCGCCACAAATGGGGACATGGTGGGGGGGCAATTCTCTAAGAGAGGAAGCCGCTAGAGGTGGGCTTGAGATAGGTGGCGAACTAGATGGAGGTGGGCTTAAGGAAGGTGGGCTTGAGGAAGGTGGTGGGTTAGGTGGGCTAGATGTTGGTGGGCTTGACGGACTGGAGGTAGAGGGCGGAGTGTGACGGGAGTTCCTAGAGGTAGGTGGAATTTCATCTAATAAATGAAAAGGATATCGGAAGCTAGGTGGAGGAAGCATGGTGGTCCCCGGTTGTGAACAGTAGGCATTGTAAGGAAAAATAGCCTCATTAAATACAACATGCCGAGAGACAATAACTTTATTTGTTCTCAAATCAAGGCACTTGTATCCTTTATGATGTGGAGGATAACCAAGAAAGATGCACAAAGTGGAACGAGGTGCCAACTTATGTGGAGCGGTGGCAGCAAGATTTGGATAGCAGGCACATCCAAAGGCTCTCAAATGATCATATGTTGGAGGCAAACCAAATAACAGCTCATGAGGTGTTGAAAAATGTAGCCTAGAAGATGATAAAATATTAATGAGATGGACAGCCACATGAAGTGCTTCCACCCAAAATTGACTAGGCAAAGTTGCTTGAAATAATAAAGAGCGAACCATATTTATAATGGTTCTATTCATTCTCTCAGCTCTCCCATTTTGTTGAGGAGTTGAGGGACAAGAAGATCGAAGATGTATACCATGTGTTTGAAAATATGTAACAAAATCTAAATTATCAAATTCACGACCATTGTCACATTGAAAAGCTTTAATTCAAGCACCAAACTGAGTAGAGACATACGCAGAAAAACGAAGAAAATAGTGGAAAGCTTGAGACTTGGAATGCAAGGGATAAACCCACAAATAGTGACTATAATCATCCAAAAATAATAAATAATATTTGAGACCAGTAAAAGACTCAACAGGAGAAGTCCATATATCTGAATGTATTAAATCAAATGGAGCCGAAGCAACAGACATAGATTCAAAAAAAGGAAGACGCACATGCTTGCCTAATTGACAAGCATGACAAGAGGTAGATGAAAAGGTCTTCTTATTGGAGGAAATTAAGCCACGCTTGACAAGTTGAGCTAAAGAGTCTGACCCTGGATGTCCAAGACGAAGATGCCACACATCCGGAGACACTGTAGTAGTAGATAACACAGACTGCTGACTAGAAGGAAGACTGGACCAAGAATATAATCCCTCTCGACTATTGCAACGATAAAGAACGTTCTTCGTCTTGTTGTCCTTAACAGAAAAACCAAAAGAATCAAACTCAATACTACAATCATTATCTTTGGTAAATTGACGAACAGAAACTAGATTTTTTGTAATAGAGGGAGAGACAAGAACATTATTAAGCTTAAAGGAATTATCAGAAGAAGAGAGTACTGTACTACCAGAGGAAGTAATAGGAAGTAGCTGACCATTACCAACTTGTATGGAATCATTACCGCAATAAGGAAAAGAGGATAAAAGAGTACCAGTACTGCCAGTGACATGTGTAACTGAACCACTGTCAATGTGCCAAGTTGAGTCAGAAACAGATGGTGGATAGGATGGTGCAGCAAAGAAGGTTGGATGGGAATTAGGAAGTGTCAGAGAGAGTAGTGGGCATTCTCTGGCTTGATGATTGGGTTGGCCACACCATTGACAGGAGACAGGCGGTGTGGGCAGCAATGGAGGCAAACTCGAATTCGGTTGAGCCATACGAGCACTAGCATAACCACCATAATGATTAAGAGGTCCACGACCATAACCAGTATTGAAATGCTGAAAATTTCCTCGTGAGTTATGGAATCCACGTCCAGCACGACCACCACGAGAACCACGCCGTCCTCCTCGTGGAATGATTCTACCATACCCTCGTGAAGAACCAACAAAATTGGAATTGGTTTGAATATCAGCAACATGAACTGGGGAAGGAGAATAACGTGACGGTGGTGCTTGGTTAGAGATTGGAATAGCAGTGTGTAGCACCTGATGAGAACTGGTGACGCCCGGCAACAAAGAAGCAGCAGCAGCTTGTTCGCGTTGGACACTAGCCTCTTCAATTAACAACAAAGCTCGCATCTCCAAGAATGATGGAAAAGGAACCCGTTGAGGTATTGTCCGCTTAGCAACACTGTAGGCGGAATCAAGACCGGCGAGAGTTTGAAAAACCAGATCTCGATCTGTTTTCGGAGACCCAATTCCATATAATTTATCTGCTATACCTTTCACATACTGCAGATAAGCCATCATTGTTTGACCCGGCTGCTTTCGAATGGAGGAGAATTCTTGTTGGAGAAAGAGATTTTGTGCATCCAATTGATTTTGATAGGCAAGATGGATCGCATCCCAGGCTTGTTTGGCATTCAAAGATCTTCCTGGCTGTATAATCATCTGCAATACTTCTGAAGATATGGTTGCTTGAATCCATGATAGGATTTGATAATCAATCTGGGTCCAATCCGCAAACTCACGACTCCCTGGCATAGGACAAGGATCGAAGCCATCAATATGCCCATAAACACCCTTGCTTTTGAAAACAGGAATCATTAACTCACACCAAATAACAAAATTGTCATGGTTCAAGGTTTCCGGAACAAAGTTTTTAATATTTGAAATAGTAAAAACTGGATGAGAACTTATAGAGGAAGGCATGGTGGAGACGGCAGGACTGGTAACAGAAGGAAGAGATCTGAGTGGGAAAGTAGGAGTACTGGGAGAAATAGAAATATGAGGACTCGACGAAATAGGAATGGGAGAAGTACTAGAAAGAACAGGATTAGTATCCATGACACTGGAGAAAAAGAATTGAAGCAGAGGAAGAAATCTAGAAACACAGTTTGATGCCGAACCCTAGCTCTGATACCATGAAGACAATAGTCATTCTCATTGATTCTGAAATAGGGTTACAGTATATATATACATGTATTTGTGTAAAGACTAGACTACCCTCACATACAATATTAATATGTACACTATCAGGTTCTTTCAAACTATCCATCTGTTTGTGGATGATAAGCGGTGCTAAAATTAAAAGTTGTTCCTAAAGCATTGTGTACACTACCCTAGAAATGAGAAACAAAACAAGAATCTCTATTTGAAACAATAGACACCGGTATCCCATGCAACGTCACAATCACTTTTAAGTATAACTTTGCAAATCCCTCTATTTGCATTCTTGTTTTATAAGGAAGAAAGTGGGCAGACTTGGTTAACCTATCAACAATAACCCAAATAGAATCATTTGCATTTTTTGTTGCAGGCAAACCAGTGACAAAGTCCATGGCTATATGTTCCCACTTCCACTCTGGAATAGGAAGTGGTTGCAACTTGCTAGTTGGTCTTTGATGCTTAGTCTTAACCTATTGGCATGTCAAACACTTAGCCACAAAATTAGCTATTTCCCTTTTCATGTTATTCCACCAGAAGGTTCCTCGCAAATCTTTGTACATTTTAGTACTTCCAGGATGAACCGTATATCCAGTATTGTGAGTTTCTTTCATAATTACCTCCTTTAACTCTAATTTATTAGGAACACAAATTCGATCACCGTGCCTAATAGATCCATCTTCATGAATCTTTAAAGATTCTAGTTTGGGATCATTGGACTCCACCTTTTGTCTCATTCGCTGCAGAAATGGATCATCCAACTAGGCAGTCTTTATCTTCTCGATCAAGGTTGGCTGGACTTGCAAACTAGCCAAAAGTGCATCTAAGTCATGCCTGTATACTTTAACATCCATCTTCATCAAATCTTCCAAGATATACCTCTGAGAAGTAATTAAAACAGCTAGAATACTATGGTTCTTCCTACTCAATGCGTCAGCTACCACATTAGCTGTCCCAAGATGGTAATTGATTACTAAATCATAATCCTTTATTTACTCCAACCATCTCTTTTGTCTCATATTCAGCTCCTTTTGTGTGAAAATATATTTTAAACTTTTATGATCAGTAAATATCTCACACCTTTCACCATATAAATAATGTCTCCAAGTTTTAAGAGCAAAACAACTACTGCTAGTTCAAGGTCATGAGTCAGATAATTCTTCTCATATGGTTTCAACTATCGTGAGGCATAAGCTACCACCTTCCCATGTTGCATCAAAACACAACCCAATCCTTTCATTGAAGCATCACTGAAAATTGTAAAATCACCACTATCATCATGAATGGTCAGAATAGGTGCTGAGACCAATCTACTCTTCAACTCTTGATAACTTTGTTCACATTCATTTGTCCACTCAAACTTCACACCCTTTTGGGTTAATCAGGTTAATGGAACTGCAATACAAGAAAATCCCTCCACATATCTTCTATAGTACCTAGCTAAGCCCAAGAAGCTCCGAACTTCAATCACATTAGTAGGTCTACTCCATTCTGCCACTACTTTAACCTTTTCTGGATCTATTGAAATTCCATCCTTAGACACCACATGTCCTAAAAATGCAACACTATTCAACTAGAACTCACATTTCTTCAACTTTGCATAAAGCTTTTTCTCCCTTAGAACTTGTAAAACTAGTCATAAATGTTCTTCATGTTCTGCTATACTTTGAGAGTACACCAAAATATCATTAATGAACACCACAACAAATTTATCTAAGTAGGGCTTAAACACCTTATTCATTAAATCCATGAATGCTGTAGGGGCATTAATTAACCCAAATGGCATCACAAGAAATTCATAATGCCCATAGCGGGTTCTGAAGGCTGATTTAGGAATATCCTCTTCCTTGATCTTCAATTGATGGTATCCAGATCTCAAGTCAATTTTAGAGAAAACTTGAGCACCCACCAACTGATTAGAAAGATCATCAATTCTAGGCAAAGGATACCTGTTACGTACCGTCACCTTGTTCAACTCTCTATAGTCAATACAGCGTCTCATGGTTCCATCTTTTTTATTCACAAATAACACAGGAGCACCCCAAGGTGACACACTTGGCCTTATAAAACCTTTATCCAACAGCTCTTGTAATTGCTCCTTTAGCTCTTTGAGTTCTATAAGGGCCATCCTATATGGAGCCTTAGAGATTGGAGCTGTTCCAAGAACCAAATCAATAGAAAATTCCACTTCCCTATTGGGTGGTAATCTAGACAATTCATCTGAAAATACATCAAGGAAATCTCGCACCACATTAATGTCCTGAAGTTGCAATTCATCAAATTCCTTATCAACAACAATAGCCAAATAACCCTCGCAACCTTTACTTAACAATTGATGAGCTTGTAATGCAGATAGGATCATTAGAGGTGACCTTCTAGTGCTACCTACAAAACTAAATTCTTGTTGTCCAGGAATTCGAAATTCTACCCTTTTTCCATAACAATCTAAGTTAGCATAATTTTGAGCAAGCCAGTCCATTCCCAAAATGATATCAAAATCATGCATATCAAGAATAATTAAATTGGCAAGAAGTTTTCTCCCCTCAACATGCACCAAGCAAGACTTGCAAACTTGATTAGTGACTAACTTTCCCCCATTAGGGGTGTTTAACACACAACCCCCATTCTAAATAGTCAATAGGTACACCAAGTTTTGGTGCAAATCTAGTAGATACAAACGAATGAGAAGCACCAATATCAAATAAAGCATGTGCATAGGATGAAGAAATTAAGAGCGTACCTATCACTACATCATTAGATGCCCACACATCCTGTTGAGTCAAAGTAAAAACACAGCCCTGAACTGAAGGTTTCTGACTTACTCCTTTACTTGAACTTGCAGTAGATGCTCTCTCACTGGCAACTGACTGATTAGCTAGAGCACGTTGAGTAACTTGGGTATTTTGTCTACCTTGAGGACAATTAATGGCCTTATGTCCCTTCTGCCCACACTTGAAACATGAATTTGGTGGGTACCTTGCATGAATACAATTGGCTACATGATGCCCAACTTGACCACACTTAAAGCACAAACCTAACAACCATCTACAGTCCTTGGGTTCATGAGGCCCCTGACATCTCCAACACTGAACATTTCCCCCCTGTTGCATTTGATTCCTAGAAAATTCTATGTTTTGTCTTTTGCTCTGCATAAAACTGTGATTGGTGGAATCTTTCCCGCTTAAGGCACCCATCCATTTCTATTTCTTAGTGCCAACACTACTCTCCTCTGCTGTTATAACCACTTTCTAACCTTACTCTACCACTTTGGCTTTGTTAACTGTTGCAGAATATGTACTTACTTCAAATTTCTGAACCTTAGATAGAATATGTGGATTAAGCCCATAGAGAAATTTTAGCCTCCTAGATTCCTCAACCTTCTAAGTAGCCAGAGGAGCAAACTTTAAAAGTCGGTTGCATTCCTTCTCATATTCCTTCACAGACTTGTGACCTTGGACACGTGTATGGAATTTTTGTTGCATCTCATGTCTGTCACTTTCAAGTAGATACTCCTTAAGGAATGCTTCCGTGAAGGTACTCTAGTCAATTGCGGAAGTGTGCTTGTTTTCTTCTACCTCCCACCAATTAGTTGCATCACCTTTCAACAAATATGCAACATATGGCACCTTGTTTACCTCAGTGACACTCTGCCCACGAAAAGTCTTCTCCATTTCCTTAATCCAATTGTCTACCTCTAGTGGATCCTTCAAATCTCTATGGAAAGGCTTAGCAAGCTTAACAAACTCTGCTAAGCCTTCTTTTTGGATAGACTGTGATGTTGAAACCTTTCCCTGCTGCTCTGCAATCACCCTTGCTTGTTGCTCTGCCAAGGACTTGACTAACTCTTGTTGTTCAGCCATAGTCTTTTCCATAGTCTGCATAATTTCCATGAAATTTGGTTGACTTTGTTGTCCCAACTGTTGACTTTGTCCAACATTTGTGTTATGTTGATCATGATTCCTTGCAGAAGAGTCCAATGACTCATTTTGAACATCATCCACCTCAACCTCATCTCGATTAACAGGCTCACTCCTAGCAACTAACGGAGTTCTACCACCAGCACGCGCACTTAAGGGTGGTCCCCCAACCTAGGGTTTAGTACATGACAATGCCACATACCTTTAGGAGTGACCCCAAAAGCATGTAAGGCTAAGTCAATCTTTAAAATTCATCCATGCAACTTTGCATAAAATTTATTCTTCACTTTTAAGAAAATTAATAGTAAAAATAACAATAATAATAATAATAATCCATCATCTAAAGCCAATTCTAAACCAAGAATCTCAGGTGTAACTAGCACTAAAATAAAATCTCTTTGTTTCAAATGTCCACAAAATGCTAAACATAATAGGAAAGAAGTAAATAATCTATTTCTAAGGTGGCTCTCTATTTCCCCTGCATCCCAGATGCTTCATGTTTAGTATCTGAAAACATTAAATAAAACAATGTGAGCTCCACATGCCCAATAAGTAGCATACCCAACTAGTACGACCAAGCATAATTATCTTAATTAAAAAGTGATAGAAAATAAGTAATAAAATTATATTGGATGAAACAAATATAAAAAAACTCATCAGCAAAACAATTTCTCAATCCCACATGGCTAAGGCACATGAATATCAACTGGTAGGTAATCCAACATGGTCTATCGTTCGATAGTCTATTACAACAAAATAAATAAATAAAAATGAACCGTTCAATGATCTAACACGGTTTACCGTTCGATAGTCTAACACGATTTACCGTTCGATAATCTATTACGATACGATAATCTAAAATGATTCCCGACTCAAACAGTTACCATCAAAAACCCCTGAGGTAGGATTGTCCAACTACTCCATGCAAAACAAGTTACCTTAATTTCAAATAAATTTTCAATTCCAAAGTCTCTATATCACAAAACTATCAAATCCCCTCATCTCAAATGGTTGACAACCAACATGCTTAATCCACATGTATTTTAAAAAAATGATAAATAAATATACACATAAATAAGTAGATGCATTCCAAAAGAAATACCACAAGGAAATAGTTTTAAAAAAAAAAACACTTAGATTTCAAATAAATTAATTTTACAATAACAAATAAAAGAATAATTTATTTTTTCAATATTTCTAGAAAGGGTAATGCCACTTACCTCAATTATTGACTTGGCACCAATGAATGCAAAGCGAAGAATTATTTAGATCATTTTCCCTCTCAAATGGACTTCGCAACTATTTTCCCGCAATTTGTGCAGTCACCTTACTGCTTTTTGAGTGAGGAAACTGACGCCCCAGTAGGTTCTGCAGAATAGCACATTATTCTTAAATTTCTAGGTTAAGTTTTGCACATTTTACAAGCCACTCCTTCATCCTTACCACCATTATACACATAAGTCCTCATATTTCCACCTTATTACATACACATCCTTAAGGAATTGAATAATAATATTATTATTAATAATAATAAAAATTCTGGGTATTACAGTAGGTAAACAATAGAACAGCATTACAATAAACAAAAAGGTTCTGTTTGTTCCCGTGTTTTAGCATGCTGTTTAATCTGCTGCTTCTATGCAGGCCTATCCAATTGCTTACAGGACTAACCTTGTGTCTCGCCCAAAATGAGTACACGTCGACTAAGCAGCTATTATAATATGGTTTTAAGTGTTAAATTCACATGGAAGTTATCTTAAATTAATAAAAAGAGTTATTATAATAAGAAATTAAATTAACAGATAATTTTTAAAATTAAAAATAAGAATATTTGAATAAATGATAATGACAAAAGATAGAAAAATAATATTATAATGAATGAAGCTTCAATGTTTACTTAATTAATTTGTTTGATTGTTATCAATGTTCATTTGAAAAATAATTATTATATACTTGATTTAATATATTTTTTGATATTCATATCAATTTAGTTATTAAAATATAATATAAATATAGTCAATTCTTATATATATAATTACATTTTTAAATTTGTCTG